GACTAATTACAACACAAAAGCTTATTTGTAACTGTTGTAACCATTATAACCCATTTCAAACCACAGTAAACTGCTGTAACCACTGTAACCATTGTGACCAATAAATAACTGAGAATAACAGAGAAAATGCTATTTGTAAACAGGCTTTTGTAACCCTTGTAACTGGTTACAAATGAACATAGTTGAAAGTCAGGAGTAATTTCTTGCCATATATATGACCGTTTGATAGATAAATTTTATTTGGGTTGCTTTCAATTTTTGCTACTGCAGACAATTGTGTCAAAAGTAACAGGTAAAATATTGTATACAACAAAAATTCCCCAACTAAGCATAAATTCTCTATTATAACATTTGTCTGAAAAAATTCTTTAACTCTTAAATATTTAATATATATTTAAAATACAAAAACAACAGAACAAAGGCCTTTCATTTTCAATTTGGCTGTACTACCACAGCCATAATCCGCAAGATAACACCTTTTTAGTAGTTATTTGATATTTTCAACGAAACAAAATGAGATATTATCATAATTTTTTTAACGATTTCTTTTACCTTTGATGGAGGATAAACAAAATTTTACGTAAAATAAAATGATTTTCGATTTTTTGTTATCCCTCGCCGCCACAGAAGTTGGAATAATCTGAAGATTGAACCCGATTCAAATGTGTTGCGTGCTCCAGCGCACTACTTTGCACTTAGGGGACAAAAATAGATTGAAATATACATTTACTTTTTTGATCACAGGGGCTTGTCACAAAATATAGAACTTCTCTTAATATGGTCACCTCTACTATAAAGATACATGTATATCAAGAAAAGCTGCAGGAAAATATTTCACGACAAGCCCTTGTTTTCCCCATAAAGCTATACACCCTTTAAATAACGGAAGGGAACCGAAAAATTTTGTAAAGACATAGATTTAGTCGTTGTGGTCACGATTAAAAAAACTATTTAATATATTTGTTAAAACTTAGATTTTGTTGTTAATAGTTATATATGTATGTATTTTCATGCTTTTTGGAAGGAAAAAAAAAGTTGGTTTGGTTTATCTGCATCCTTGATTAAGACACCTTTTGAACTTCAAACTCTCATTTTAAAATTACAACGTACATGTAGAAAAACTTCACAATAATTTCCACTATGTGTGATTTAAAATAACATATTTTTAAAAAAAATTCCCACCTTCCTTCAAGTGAGATGAGAGGGGCGGGTAGGTAGGAGTTGGAAGTTTTGGAGTTATTAAAATTTACATCGTAAAGAAACTTCAAAATGTGACCTTCCCCCATCCTCTTTTAGAAGAAAACGCAGACCGACCCCTCGTAAGTTGGGTGTAGGAGTGTAACCACCCACCCCGACCCCCAAATGTATCCCATCAACACTGACGGAAAATAAAAGATGCATTTATACAACTATATGTATGTAACAGAATTTAAAAAAAGTTTCATTATATAAAAGGCTTTCAGTGGTTTGTGGAGGTCCAGATAAGAGAGGGGCATTAGGAGATGTAGAGACGGATGGACAGTTATACAAAAGAACACAAAGGATGCAGAGGGGTTTTAAAAATAGAGACGGATGGACAGTTATACAAAAGAACACAAAGGATGCAGAGGGGTTTTAATAAAACGGATACTGTAGGTGTGTCTGTGAGTGTTTCTTTGACTCCTTGTATGCATTCAATGAAGAATAAATGAAATAAAATAAATCATAATTGAGAATATTAGATTTGTTAAAATACAAATGTATGTCGATAAAAGGAATAATTTTAAGGGTCTCTCTCTCTCTCTCTCTCTCTAAATTACTTACGTATTATATGTGTCAAATTTGATTTTTTTTCAATTACAAAACGTCTAAGTATATATCAACTCTTTATCACGACTGAAAGTAATCCTAGGATGTCTAGAAGTAATTTATCATGCGCGGATCTAGAGGGGAGTTGGGGAGCTCCGGACGCCCACCCCCGGAATTTACAGAGTTATTAAATTCTTATACTAAACCAAGTAAAAAGGTACATTAGACCACCCCCACCCCCACCCCCTGAAAAAACACACACCCTCGAAAACGCGGATCTGTGTCGAGTTGGTAGGAAAAGTCTTCTATAGGTATGAAGCATTAGACAGCAATAAATCCCCCCCCCCCCCCCCCGCAGTCCAACAAATCGGTTTTCCACGTTTGGGCGAGTTAATGGGTTTTTTTTTTTTTTTTTTGCTTGTCGACCAATTTCTGGCTTGAATTTTTTTTACTGAGGCCCCCCCCCCCGGGAAAAAAATCATGGATCTGCGCCTGTTTATCAATAAGTTGAAGACAATTTGAATGTCAAAGCCTTGGTCTTCATGCACTTAAAAAAGCAGATACAGTAACACATGTGTTTTGAAATCAGGTGATCATATGTAAACCTTGGCATGAATCTGAATCGTGATTTATCAAAAGGTATTTCCTTAACTGAATTTGCGTATATATCTTTTTCATGAAAATCAGGTCAAGATTTCTACATGTTTGTCTAAAAATCAATGTACTTTTTAGAAGACAAATTGCAATTTTATTAGCAACAAGTTCGATTCAATACAATTTCTTATAGAATACGCGTAATATGAGCTACAACTTTGATGTCAGAAGTTTTTGCAGAATATAATGCATAGAAAATAGAAAGACATAATCATAAATTATACTTAAAATTATAAATATAGACACATAACGAAAAAAATATAGGGGACATAATTATGCTGTTCTCGTAACCCCCTTTCCCTAATACTAAATTGTCATGTGCATGCATCAAATCCACTTTCAAACTTTATGTTCGGGAGGGGTCACATGAACAAAAATATATACTAGTTTTGTAATCAAAACTTTTCTTTGAATATTATAAAAGTCTTTACGATTACTTTCTCTAGTTTTTTTTGCTCGTATTAAAAAAAAATAATTTACGTATAAATATGTATAAAATATTAATCAATATGGAATTGGAACGTTTGAAAGTGCGGAAAAACTAGATAGAATACACAATACAAAGATTGTCAATATTGACCATTTCCTGATAAATCTAGATAGATTACGCTGTTGTCAACAGAAATGTGAAGTTACAAAAGGGCTACGACCCATAAACCCAGTTGTACACTAACGCTGTTCACGTGTTCGCATTTGGAATTTTCATGTCAGACTATATGCAGAATGACTTAAATCTTACCAAGTTCACGACCTTCACAAATCTTGGATGAAAATCAAATTTTGTTAACTTAATGTACTGACTGGATGTTCCAAATACAGAAATAGAGGAACAATCTTGTCCAAAAAATGGTCATAACTTGCAGTGAGTACATGTGCACCGTAGCTAAAAGTGCAGGTATCCCCTATATTTGTTATAAGCATGCAGGGCGATTTTAAAAAAATATATAAATTCTAAAACCTGATTAAAACTACATCCTACATAGATAGGCCTCCATATATATTCAAGGATAAGAGAAAACTAGATTTCGTTCAATAACAAATCGTCATTGATAACCAGTTTATCTGGAACACGACCTTTTAAACTAGGAACCCTGACATTTTCTCTTATAAGGAAATGTGAAGACAGCCCCTCCTTCCCAGTGAAGAAGCCATACTTTCATGCAAAATATATTTCAATGTAATATAAATTTTCCTTTTTCTATCATGAAGACTATGAATGAATTTTTTTTATCTATACACTGAACTGACAACGGATTTTTCCGTTATTTACCGACCATGACAAGGAGCACACGGCGGGTGTGACCGGTCGGTAGGGGATGCTCACTTCTCCATGGTACCCGATCCCACCTCTGATGGTTTGGAGATCTGTGTTTGCTCTACTCCTATTTTGTATTGTTTTATGGACTTTCGATCTTGAATACTGTTAGTTATATTCATATATTTCATCCAATTTATTTTGCAGTTTTAACAAACTATTCTTAATTACATATACCTGTATTTCAAAGTTATTCCGCAAGAAATCTAAAAAAAAATCATTAAGGTAGGTCTGGGCTTTCAAAAAAATTCTGTCAAACTAATATTTTTTCTTTGAATGTCTTCATCAACTCATAAACTAACTAAAAAGCCAAAAAAGAGATGTCTTTGCATGCTTATTTTCCTACAACTTCCCTCAGAGTACACACTCCTCAAAATCCAACGGCTTAATTTTAATGTAGAGAAAAATATGGGTTAACATTTTATTTAGTTACATCTGTATTTACCAAAACACATCAATATCAAATTGATGTTGATTCTGTCCACATTCTTCTTTTTAAAAAAAAAATCACATAAACCTTAATTTTGCACAGTTCTTAAAATATAAACTGTTTACATGCCTTTTTTTCTTTAAAATTATTTAAAATTATACCCAAGGTCAACAAAAACACATATTTTATCATGGTTGACCAGATAGATTTTACACAAAAAATTGAACATGTATACTCCCAATTTAGGTAAATCAGCTTTTACAATAATTCTTTGCAAAACTTGTAATAAAAATAAAAAAGATGGTACAATCTTAAAAATAATATAGATTTCAAGTCAATTTGTATGAAAAATGTTAAAAATTTTAGTTTCTACAGGCGATTAAGAATTTTGTCTTTGTGTGTGTATATATTAGATGCCTTGTACACAACAACACTTTGACGAACAATCACATACTTGTGGAATTCTTAGCAAATCGATCACTTCAACAGGCAATTGCTAAGCAGAATTATTTACTAGTAATAAATGTATAAAATTGAAACCGGATCCGTAAAAGTATGGACCTTCCTTAAATCAAATTTTTGAAAAAAAAAAAAATTGAATTAATATTCATTCATGAAAATGGGACAAATCTTTTAATAGAGCACATTAGTAATTAATTTAGGCGGAAATGAATAATCTACCCAGATAATCTGGAATACTAACATTGTTGCCTTGAATTTTTTGATCTAGCACGTTCATTTAGACCCCGTAAAATCATAAGTTTTTGCAATGCATATTAGATTGTCACCTGATTGAGATAACAAGATCTATCGAACGCATATATACACTCTAACGGAACCCCATTGGCTCGAGTGAAAGGTATCTACCCTCCCTTTTAAAAGGAGGATAGTTAACACGGAGTTATTGTTACAAATCCCGGGGTAATGGAAGAAGGTATGATTTTCCGAGGCTTTTCCGTTTGCATGTGTATTGCCTTGTTACATGCAGGTAGTGCACATGAAGTAGGTATGCCAAAAATTTTATTTATCTTTGCATTGAGAATATATCTTTAGACTAAAAATTCATAATTTAAGCATCAAATAAATTGCCATATCAAATAAAATAAATAATTATTGCCTAGATAGGGTGTAAAGTCTTTTTTTTAATTATTATTATTTTTTATATATAAATTTATTATTTATAACATTTTATTATAATTATTTTTTTAAGGACATGAGGATGAATCAGAGCGAACTTCCACTTTTAGACAATGTATTGAAAAATGTGTCTCAAAAAATTACGCGGGACCAACCCCGTCCACGCGATGTGCCTTTAGTCGTTCGGCTAACTATAAACAGAGCTGGAACGGACCACCAGTTAAAGTGAGTGCCCCTTCTCCACAACCAGTTTATGGCCAACGGGCACTGTTTGACGAAAGGCTTCCAGCTGGTGACGTCAGAAAAAGGTCGACGCATTTATATCGTGTACTACGTGGAATTTTACGTGATAAAAGGACATCGTCTTCGTCAGTATCAGACTATGTTAGAGTGTGTTATAACTGTATTGCCGAGACGTGTAGATTTGCTTTCTTTTTTGGTAAGTATAAGATGAATATACGTTAGAAGTAAGTGGACTTTACAAATAGTCTTATCAACGGGCACCTTGCGTTACAAATATTAAAAAAACCTTCCTAACAAATAATTTATTAGATCATTAGCTTATAATATAATATATAGTTTTTATTCTTAAGAAAACTATGTTACGTCAAGCGCAATTAAATGTGCTTTATTACTGTGATATGAACCCATTTTGGCGAGAGGAATATATAATTTGTCCGTCTGATAAAAATAATTGGCCCACCTAAAAACGAACAAAAGCAAATATTATTGGATATAAAAAAAGCAGATAACGTTTTCTGTCTTGCAATACATAGTATGTCCTTGTTACACCAACTTTGTAACAATTTTCAAATATACCGTGAAAAAGGGCCCCATGTTTTATGTACCCTACCCTTGCATTGCCCCCCCCCCTCCGTAGTCTTAGTCCGAAATAGCTGATGTTTTCCAGTTTCCAGGCTTTTGAAAACTTCCTGGCACGTAAAATATCAAATTCATGAATAAAGCCTGGAAAACGTAAGATATTTCAGACTCTCTCTCTCTCTCTCTTTCTGTTTGATGCGTGTTTCACAAAGAATAATTTTGAGGTAAATATTTAAAACATTATCATCAAGTTATTTTTAAATATGACACTTTATCACAAGAAAATCACGAGAGTTTATCAACATAATAATTATTTCCATGATAGTGGGTCATCTTTTTAGATTAGATTAAAAAAAACTACTATACGTCAATTGTACCACGATATTTTCATTCATTTACCACTATTGTCACTATATTTTTAATTTTTCAAGTTCTAGTCAATAATTTTCAAATTTTGTGTGCTATAATTTTTTGCCCTATAAATTATATTGTAGAATTCCAATTTGTATTGTTTATATAATTTGTATTTTATTTGCTGTTTTTCAGTCAATTCAATGATTTAATTATAGCTATACACCTTAAGTGCAATATTCTGAACCCACAGAAACAAGTTAATATACATTTTTACACTTACAAATTCCCGAAACCTTTTTTTTTCTGTTGAACAATAGTGCATAAATTTACAGTAAATTTACATTGTATAGATTTTTCTGTTTTTCATAAAAAAGTGAATCAACCATTTAAATCGTTTTTCTTTGAAAAATGATTGAACAACTTTACATTTCTTTATTGCTCCATAATCTATTTTTTTTCTTTGCATTGCAGGTTGATTTAATGACTCCGTTCCTGACCAATCAAAAGACCTCTCAGTGTTCACAGACTTTAATTTATTGCATGTATTTTTAACTTTTAAGTACTTGTTTTGTTTTTGAAAATATAAATTTTGAATTTACATATTTATACATTAGTTAATAGTTTCTATTTCATGTTACATATTTTGCATGGTACTCTTGCTAAGTTATAAAGTGTTTGATTTTTCAACCCTTCCCTCCCATGATTGATGAGTTCCAGATAACTTATTTTCCAGTTTTATATAAACTTGATTCTTTTGAAAATATTTCCCAAAGTCCTTAGGGAGGGAAGGGGATCTTTTATGTTGTATATGTCCCTAAATAAACAAATTTTGATGTAAGATTTTTATGTAGTTATCACTTTTTTTATCGCCTCTGACAGGCGTTTATTTTTTTGTACCCCGCTTTCACTAAAAATGAGGGATATTAATAATTTGGTTCTTCTGTCGTCCGTATTTCTGTCTGGATGTATCACTTTCACTTCCACACGATATCTCGAGAAACCTTTGAGCATTTGCAATGAAATAATACGAAACAACTTCATATGGCCTTATAAAAACCCTTGTTGATTTTAAGGTCAAAGGCCAAGGTCATAACTTCAAAAATACTGTCTGTTTTAACATTTTCGTTTCTGCACTATGTCTCGAGAAACCTTCGAGCTGCTGTTTCAGTGATATTTTATACCAAAACTCCCTTTGGCGTATGAAAGATATCTATTGATTTTGAGGTCAAAAGGTCGAAGGTCTAAGCTGAAAATTCCGATACTTTCAATGCCGGGTGATATCACAAGGAGTCTTTGAGCTTTTGCAATCCAATGATATAACCGCCCCTCTTAAGGTATCCCCATTGATACACCCCACCCACGCATGCTCTCTTTTTTTCTTTGGATGATGCAAAGAGTTTATTTTTAACAAGCGCATGTTTTCCATTTTCCCGACAAGCTTTGTAGGCAAAATTCCGAGATGTTGCGATCGCTTTTTCGAATGCTGTATATGTTGTATTTTCGCGACACTTTTATATTGACGCGAGATAGCTGTTAAAATACCGGTAACCAAGATAACATTTTCGCAAGCTGAGATTATTGTGACATATTACCCTCTATATTAAAAAAAATCCGCTACAATAAAAATATTTGCGAACATACTCGCTTAAATTCTCGCAAATAAAACACATGCTGCTTACAAAAGCACAAGCTGCGGAACTAGTTTTCGCGTCACCATTTATCCGATGGTCGAGCGACCAAATTTTTCTCGTATCGTCTGCTGAAAAATAAACATTGGTCAACACTAGAATCGGGCGATGCAGAGTAGTCACATTAATTTCTATGAACATCGATGCATTTATAATTTACAATTTTTAGCCGCAGTTAAATTTTCACCGTCGGCCAACATTTACGGAAACCCAATTCCTAAATATCGACCGACAGACGACTTCAGAACTGTATATGCAGATGGTCGGGCGATGATCGAAGATTAGTTGGTGGACTATATTCAACGACTGCTTCAAATGAAAAAATCGGTCACTGACGCAGAAAAAATTATACATGAGTCGATGACTATAGCATATTATATATAACTTGGCTCGACTGACACAAAATTTGTCGGGTGACAAAAAAGAAGAGGGGAAAAAATCGGACAAGAAATCCCATTTTTGCCTAATAAAGAAGCCATCAGTTTATTTTTGGGTTTATGCTTCCATTTCTTCATCGTCGGATAGATACCCACAAGTGATCGGTCTTTTACATATTTGTTCGTTTTATCTATACGCCTATAGAAGTGAATAGGGGGCTAGCCTAGTCGTCCTTTTGAAGATAAGGGCTGTACATACAGAAAGTACATGTAGCATATCAATTTATATCACAAACTGATACTTAACTTTATTTACTTTCATGAATGCTAAAAAATGTCAATGATTTATCGAATGAAAATTATCCCAGTTCTCAGTCGGGTCAAATTTTCGAACGATTTTGTCGTAAAGTATACACGGTATACAGTATAAATTGTACAGTTGGTCAAAAACCAGAAACATGTAAGCTATACGTTGTAGCTTAATATTTACATCCACTGAATATTTTCTGCTTTATTTCTTCAGAAAACCCATTGCGTTAATCACTGCATGAACTACAGTAGGCATGCCGCCTGTACAGATTTCTTGATCAGTGGCTGTTCCATCAATGAAACGTATAGAGACGTTCGCATCATTAATACAATAATTAATCTTTTTAATCCTACTTTAAATGATTATTTAAACAGATATAAATATAAACAATAAAATGTCTTTCTTTCTTTGTTATTACTGGAATTAACGGTCGCAGCTATTGCAGAAATAGTTCGTTAATTCCAGTAATAACAAACAAAGAAAGCATTTTATTGTTTAAATAATAGATGTATCTCCATTAAGTATTAAAGCAACTTTCATTATTTTAAATTGAAAAATCGAACATACACATGTATTTCGTAAGAAAATAAGGAACGTGTCGTCTGATGTCAAGATAAAAACAATCATATGATTTACTGAATATTAAAAGATTATTGATTCTCACTGTATAAAATATCTTCGACAGATGTGAAGAAATATTCTATGTATAAGAATTTGTCAAATTAATTTAGTGGTTCGTATTTATATAGACCAAACTGAATTTTATCAAATTTTCACTTTAAGTTGAACAGAAGCCAGTAGGTTTGTTATTAATTCCCCTCAAATCTAACTAGGTCTCAGGAATGACATAACACATTGTTTGTCAACATTGGTGTCTCCTCAAAATTTCAGTTCAGACAGAGTAATGTTCCAGATATTTGTGTCTCCCAAATACTGACCAGTTCATTATGTGCCTTTAACCCGACCCCACCCGGGGCCCCCGGAAAAACAACACATCGTACACAAACAAAAAACTTTTGAATTTTTTAAATATATATTATAGCACATAATAAATAAGCAATCAATAAAAACAACATTCAATTAACTCATACATTCAAATGTGAGTATTCTTAATTTTACCATCCACCCTATTCTTTGGAAATTTGGTGGTGTCATGGACAACACGTAATCTCAAGTAAAACACAATACTTATGGATTTCTACTTTTTTAACACCATAATACTCAAATAATATTGGTTTGAAATACGATAGAATTAGCAATTATGCATATATTGTGATTTTTTCAAAACTTCTGGACACTTAATGGCATAGAATCTATCTACAAGCAAAAATAGTTTTGGTTTTCGTATTGGTAGCTTAAATACATCTATGTAAAAGGTATTTGGCAAGCAGGTGTCTGGCAAACAGATTTGAAAAAAATTTAAAAATGTAAATTTTGAAAAACTCTCATAACAAAAAAAAAATAATAATGCAAACAATATATTAAATTTGAATCGGTCAAGTAAACAGTTCTAAGTGTAGTTTGATATTTCATATCTATGTTGTGACCGTCCTTCGGATTTTTGTGCGTACGACTTGAAGCATAATTAGTTTTCTGGCACCAAATTTGTCTCCCAGGGCAACGATGGTTCCCTTGTCGTGGCTCATAGTAACGTAGAAGACGTCAACAGCGGTGGAGAATGCGCAGATTTCACTTCCGTTCTTCATTCTCCATAGGCGGATCGATGCGTCTTTACCACCAGATACGACGATTTCGTTGTCAGGAGAAATAGCCACGCACCAAACCTGAGATGAAATTGAAATCAAATTGTGTAGACTATTATTTTCACATCTAAAATGCATAATTGCTTTTTTTCAACACTGACAAAAATTTGTGATTTTCTCCACTTAATAAAAAAAAATTACATGGTCATTTTACTTATTTTTTAAATCATTTTCTTTTTCTTCATTTAAGCAAAAGTATTATTAAATTGCTATGATTAATTAGGTAATGAAAAAGCATATTTAGGGTGCAAACAGTGACACTGAACATTCAATGCACACAAATGAGTGACTACAAGTACCCACCTCGTCTTTGTGACCTCTTAATGTACTGATCTGTCTCTCAGTTTGCATGTCCCACACTTTCAGAGTACCATCTGCTGACGCCGATACCAAGTATCGATTATCGTCTGAAAGAACGACTGCCTTCACTTCCTTGTTGTGCGCATGCACACCGGTACCGGAAAGCAACTGACGGCTAGGTTGGCCAGTGCGCAGACTCCATACCACAAGGTCACCATTGCGTAGACCTGTTACAGCCTCATCTCTAGGTAGAATCACTGTACAGTCAGTGTTTGCATCCAACCTCAACAGGCAAGGATCTGTGACTTCATGTTGGGTTTGATTCATGTCAAATACTACAAATTCTGCGTGATTGTCAAATGAATTGGTAAATCCTAAAACACAGTATCTATCATTGTGGGAAAGTTTTAAGAAATTCACATAGTCATTATTTCCTACAGGTGCATCATATTTCACTTCTTTCAATGCTTGGTTTCCTAACAAGTCCCACACTACTACATGTGTAGCGTTACCAAACTTTTCAGACCTAGCGAACACAACTTTGTCTGGGTCTGACATTACACATAACGCAGAACACGTCTCTTCTGTTCCCATCTCTAATGGTTTACCCGTTGTGTAATCCCAAATCTGAAAATACAAGGGTTTTTCGAATAATGGAAATGTGTATACATGCTTTTAGATAGAACATTAGAATAACAACTTTGGAATAAAACGATATTGAGAATAATGGCAACTCTATCACACAAAAATCTTCATTATGTTTTACTTATATATGAAAATAAAAGTGGAAAGTACCTGTAATTTTTTATTCGTGACACCTTTTCTGGTTGAATATTCGTTGACCTCTAAATCAGCGTGTACAGCACCGACCAGCAGACGATCATTACAGGCAAGATGGAGGTTTGTTGATCCCACGGTGTCTCCCTTCATGATTCTCAATAACTCACCGTTCTGTACAAAGCAAAAATTGATTAAAAGCATTGAATATTAATATTGGATTCGAAGTTATACTATTCCAATATACATGTACATGCAAGACTGGTGCCTCAACTATTGTCCCTCCTTGATTCACGACAATGAAGATATATAGCTAGTGAAGATTTCTTTCGTCACACAAACTTACCTGCATGTCCCAGACTTGTGGTGGTCCTAAACTAGATCCGGTGACGACGCTTCTGCCGTCCGTCGCCATTAGACAGCAGTCCACGCGTACTTCGTCACCGGCAGCTCCCGGCGTCACCGCGCCGCTAGAGGTCGCACTGTACTGAACCATCTGATTTCCGGCTTGATTGGCCATCATAGTACGGACGTTCTGAACCTAAACAGTAAGAGGAAATATATCAAAGATTTTGCTCTTGGCTATTAGAGTTGTGAGAAAAGAAGACGACAAAAATGATATACACAATGAACTTCGTTATCTCGAACTCAATGGGAACGGCAAAAAAATCGAAATATCTTGTGTCTCAGATAACGATGTTAAGGAAAATACCATTGGAACTTTAAGGTCATGTCGTCATATCCAAAATATTCGAGATATCAGAGTTCGAGACACCGAAGATCAACTGTATTTACAGACAAAGCAAGTGAAACACACAAAGCAATCGGAGTGAGAATGCGGACAAAGAACATTAAATTACTTATGATATATATTTATAATAAATTCTAATTAATAAATTGTGCATTTAAATCAATGGAGAGAATATCCTTACATATTATTTTCCCCATTAAACATTAGTAAGCTCTAGTTTTCTTTTTCTAGTTTCTGAAAACTCCTACTTGATGAAAATAAACCACAGAGCTATGATAGGTTTTATAAGACTACTAGTATTTTAAAGGGAAGGTCATATCAAGGAACTAAAAATGAAATATCTATAATAGATTAAAACATTCCAAGTTTTTCTACTAACATTCGTTTCTAAACTTTTCTCCAGAGAGAAAGAGAGAGAGAGAGGAAAGAGAGAAAAATTCTTTAAAAGAGAACGATCTTCCAACATGCTAAAGGTTCACATACCCGGAAGTAAACAAAAGGATAACATCTACTGAATTTTGTTACTTATAAACAAAAAAAAGGGGGATGCATATTTAAACATTCTGCAGATCACAACATGGCTTGTACAACAAACAGTGTTCAAAGTGCTTCGATCCCAGTTACACGATATAGTGGAAATAAATGTCCTTGATTATAAAAGCTCATTGCAGTAGTTTCAAATAATACGTGTATTCTGGGATCTACTTTGGTATCCGTATGTGTAAGAGGAGGAAGAATTCCTGGATATATATGACATGCAAGGGAAAATGAGGATGATGACTTACAAGGTACCGTTTCTGATGAAGTGAAGCTGTCTGTTAAAACAATGGCGTCTTGACATTAAAATATTTGATTTCTGAACATTTTTCAAAAAAGTATTTTCGGAACATTTTAAAAAATATAACATATATTCAACAGAATTTATTTTCCTGGAATATGAAATCGCGTGCTCACAAAAGATAAAAATTGTTCATGGTAATTATTATTTGCGAAAAATTAGCTTAAGCAATCACAGCATGAACATAAATTTAATGATAATTTATTCAACAAAATTTCTAATTAAACTATGAATAACTTAAGTAAATAAACTTTCCTCGAACATAATGAATGATGATGAAGATGATGGCAACAAAGAAAAACCAACGATATAGAAATCACAAAATTGACCATGCTTTGATCAAAAATGGATGACAAACAAAACACGGCAATAAAAAAACACACAACATAACAAAACCAACATTCAAAATTACCTGATAGCTGTAGGAAGATGTCATCGTATTGTATCCGCTCTTACTCATAGTATTAGCTCCTAACGAAGCGCCGCCTAGTCCACTTCCCAGGGAAGAGGACAGAGTGTTGCTGGTGTAGTTAGCGGGGGTGGCCATGTCGTAATCTGCCGTGGTGGACTCGCCGTACGCCATATTGTACCCGGTTCCGCCGCCGCTACCACCACCACCACCACCTGACTTGTAGGTGGAAGTTTCTTTCTGATAGAGGTAAGATGAGGTACCACCTCCCATACCACCAGCACCACCGCTTCCTACAAGTTAATTTTTTTTAATAAATTTTAGATACAACAAAAATACTATGAGTTGTATGTGTATACATGTATTTGAAATTAAAAAAATAATTTGATTTAGATTATAAATTATAAATGTACAGATTAATTATCATGAAGGAATAAATTTTAATTTTATTTTTTGAGGGGTATATATGTATACTATATGATGATAATTGCTAATATATATACATGTATACTGGTGTGTGCATCGTAAACGGATACATAAATGAATATATAGGTGACAAAACGTAGGTATAACAATATATAATTGTGCTGGGGTACACGTAGATATATAATATTTCGGCTGCTAGTAAGAATAATAGAATAAGCATACAGCTCACTTTATTCTCAAACTTAGTTTGATTTAACCAAATAATAATTGACAGTCTTTCGTAATTGAATTTATTAATAAATCAATAAAAAGAATACGAAAGGTTTAGAATTTACTTTAGTGGGGTCACTGATCACTTTAAAGATAAAATGGCTGTATTTTTGGATACATATCGGTTATTCAACTTGCTACCTGGACATAGGCGGATTTCAGTCACGGTCACAACCTTGTCGCGTTCAGTTGTGTAACATTTGATAACCTCGACATCCATTCGTTCAAGTTTCACTGCTTCAAAACTTACGCTTGTACGATTCCTGGATCCGCCTATGCTACAGACTACGCTAATATCGTCACTACGAGCTAGCTACGCATGCTTACAACAACGCTAACCTGCCGACGACGCAGATCCTAAGTATGCTCGTGTAGCCTTGGGGGTACCAATAATGGTTCCTTTGTTCGAGAACGTACCCGTAGCTCTAAGAGTAGCAGAATCAAATACATCTCCTCCTGCGCCACCACCAACACCACCGCCGCCAGCTGTCGCTGTAGTCGTTGAGGAAGTGTAATAGGAGGAATAGCCTCCACCCCCGCCTCCTCCACCAGCCCCGGCGGATCCATTGACCACGGTAATCTTAGTTCCACCTCCCGCGCCGCCGCCGCTACCACCTCCCTCGGCTGTCCCAGACATTGCCTGTAGCACAGGGAGATTGGTTGCGGTAGGAGGAGAAATGGTAGCTGGAGGTGGGCCTCCACCACCGCCACCTGGGAACGTGACCACACCTGGTTTCATTCTCCAGAAGGCCCACATCAAGCTCGCCAAAAATGCCATTGTACCTGTAGAAGACAAAATTTTAGTACAAAACTCGTTTTCAACATTTTGCATCATTCTGAGTCAAAATCAACTTGTTTCAGATTAAAGTCCCATGGAGCTTACCAAGAAGTGTTCCCATGGCTGCGCCAGCTCGGACGCCACCTCCGGCAGGCGGAGGAACCACAGCAGGACCACCGCCAGCTGTCTGTGGTAGAGTGTTGGCACCACCAGTCAAACCAGGATTAGTACCAAAACCACCTGATATACCACCGATTTTCTCGTAGTGAATTATATCAACCCCTCCTATAGAAAAGGAAAGCAAAATAAACACCATTAACTCTGAGGTTTTTATTATTTCGCTACAATATATAAATTATCAAAACAAATCATTTACAATCCATCTTATAATCGTATAACTACCGATATTTGAAAAAAAATCACCTCCGATTCCTGAGGCACCAGGTCCCAAAGAACCACTGCCTCCAATATGTTCAGGAACAATGTGCGGTCCCTCGCCAATAGGTGGAACAGGGGGGCGTGTCGGTATACTGCAAACGCAATGTCCAGACTTACAATTTGTTTTTTTTGTAAAAATAATATCAGAAGCAAAATAAATCAGTTTATCAAATTACACCTACACTGGCGGTCGCAGATTGTATCCGTTTCTATCAATGAGAACTGCATAATCTCCAACAATGTTAATCCTGGCATCGTTATGGTGAGCAAGGTCCAAGAAGCGATACTTATTCCAGTAGGCGCCTGTTGAGAAATTTACAATTAAAAAAAAAAAACAATCATCACGCGAAATAAAATACAAATTGACTGTTTTAAACGCTTCTGTTCAGTTCTCTTACCTCCAATAATTCCGTTGAAACCACTGAGAATGGTCGAATGACCAGAGTCCGTGTATCCACCAATGAACACTTTGTGCATCTCATCAAAAGCGGAATGGGAAGCTGATAAAAATAAAATCACTTAAATTTTCAAAAAAATATTAAACACAGGTAATATTCATAGAATATAATCAAAACTCTATGAAATATTTCCAAAATACAAATAAAACTGTATCAAACATTTCCAAGCAGATATAAAACTTACATTGATGTATATTAAAGGCACTAAGACTGTCTACTATCAAGTCCGCGCGCTCTCCGGTGCGTAGGAACTTGACAACGTGATATTTGCCGTCATTGTAGGTCTTAGAATCGATTCTAAGAGATTGTTTTCCACTTCCGGTGTCATACTCGGCGACAATAAAACCACTTTCCTACAAGTATATACATTACCTCAATAATAACTTATTAATCGTCTTAACATTTTTAAACATTTGTACCGCTACAAATGTTGCTTGCGATGCTTAAGCGAACCTTTACTCTTGAAACCATCTTTCTCACCAATTTAATTTCAATGTATTCATTTCCTAGCCTGCTCTCAGCTCTGTATAGCAACCCGTCCTCGTAAAACGTCATGAAACCAAAGACAATTTCGTCTGAACTGGAGACTTGAAGATCGTCAAATGTATACAAAATAAGGCCGCCATGTTGGTTGTCAGGGGATCCAAAAATAGTACCATTTGGATCTAAAATAATCATTTCAAAATGTTTTCAAAATTTTATATTAGAGTTTTTTTTTGTTTATTAGCAAAACACAGGTACTATGGTTTATATCTCCTTCTAGGAAATGGCAACATATTTAAATAGTACATATTTTATTTTTGGTATCCGGAAGACTTACATTCGCCACAGTTATGGCCCCAGTATGCAGTCGTCTGACAATTACACGTGAAATCAACGATTCCTGGAATACAGATTCCGCCGTGTAAACAGGCATCAAGCGGGCATGGTGTAATGGCTGGAACACAAAATTAAAATTTTACAAAATATATGGAGTGGTCAAGCTAAAAATTATAATCAAGTATTTGGACAAGAATCGACATGTACCTCTACAACCAGTGATGATTTGGTCAATGTTACTGGCGTATTTGCGAAGTTCTGGGGTATGTCCATTCAGCTCTACAGAAGACAAACATCCGATGAAACCTTCACTGGATTGCAGGACTTCACGGACGAACGAATCCAGGTATTCGCTGGCGGAAATCCCTCCAATGTATAGTCTGCCAGTCAACACCAACTGGTTGGTTCCAAGGTTAATAACAATGGGCGCCAACTTGTCAATGGAAACTTCAAACTGACGTTGCTCGCCGCGGGTGCGTTCCCTCAGAGTAAAGAGATGCCATTGATTGTCGTTAAGTTTAGGCGTGGGAACTAAATGTGGAGAACTCTGTCGTATGCCATTGTGGAATTTGACATATAATTGTCCACCTATTAACTGCACGCTTATAAACTGCTTTCCACCCCCTCTTGTAAATAGAAGAATTCCATTTTCCTCGCCTGTTTTAAAGTTAAAGGTTAAGTGCATCCTTCGTGATGCGTGGAGGGGGGCTAAGTCAGCGTACACGTCTCTAGTAACAAATGTGACAGGTCTAAAGTGGTAATTATTGTATTCTTGCTCAGTTATGATAAATATTGGCCAATGTCCACCGGAATGCTGCTTCAGCTCGTCAAATATATCAGTGTGGTCGATGTATACATTCTGCATGGACCCGGAGAAGGAGGGAATGTTCAGACCCGGATACAGATTACCCAAGGAACCATAATAAACATCATCATAATGAATGTAAAAGTTCTCCCCCTTTATCGTTTCTGAAAGCAAATAAAAAATTTAATGAAAATCAAATTCAGAGAAATCAAAATAGCTTTGTTCGTAAGTTTTCAGCACACAAGGAATACCATACCTTCTTGATGAGCTAAATCGTCAACCCACATTTTCAGTAGATTGGCATTGCGGCGGAGATTGAAGGTATGCCAATGGTTGTCATTCAAGTTTTCTCCAACATAATATACCTGAATTAATAAAAGGTTTCTTAATTATTTTTTAAAAAACATAGATGACTTTATATGTATACCTTAAACCGATTTTTATCGTTTTTTTTTTTAGAAGTAACCGGTTAACTGGTTTCAAATTGACATTCCTAATATGTTCCAAATTTGAAATGAGCAAAAAGAAATCTGTCAAAAGAAGAAAATCATAAACAACGTCCAGAATGATTTAAAGTGTCATGGCACAAAAGGAAGAGTTTTAAGGGGGGAGGGGCATGACAGGCCAGAAAAAAATTTGAACAATCAGAAATTCGCAAATATTGAAAATAGCACAAAACGAAAGGTTGCCACCAGATGAATTTGATCTCACCGATAAATATTCAATATATACAGTCAGACACTTTTGATACTTTGCCAATTTATTTGTATTGAATGACAAGTAGTCATGCAAAATGACCTATAAATATTGGTATATCTTCACAATTACACGTATCTTTAATTTAACAGTTATATGAAATGTATATAAATCATGCAACCCAGAAACTTATTTCCAAACCACCCAAAACTACTTACTAAAGGGGTTAAAATGTGCTGCAAGTTAAATACAATAAATAAAATACTAATTTTTGTTAAGAGTTTATTAAAGCTGTGCAAACGGAAAGAAATGTATTAATTAAAAAGAAAAGCTCCCATTCTGTTTGAAATTCTTAATCAATAAAACGGAGATATATATACCTGGTCCACTCCATCGATTCTGACAGTAACCTTGACACGTCCATTTTCTAGAACTGCCCGGATGTACTCGTCAAGTCCCCTAGACGAGTGTGTTTGGAAGAGAATAGCATTATCCTGTGAAGTACGGAACCGAACTGAAAAATCATTATTGTGTGTTTTTTGTTGGAGTAAGTAGTTATACAGAATATAGTGTCCGTCTTCAAAGATACTGGTTACTGGCCCTAGAATACAGAAAAAAGTATTGAATGAGTAAATAATTCAAGTATTTGTAACTAGGGAAAATTGATTGTTTTTTTCTGTATTTTTGGAAAATAACAATTTACATCTATCACATCGGTCTCCACCAAAACCCGTTCCCTGGCAACTGCAGGCAAATCCGCCTTGGTCCGTATAACGACAGGTTCCCGTACCGCAAATATTGGCGTTGTCACAGTGACGAGTGAGTACAGAGCACTGGCTAGAAATACCACTTCCTGCGATGAACGACTGAAGGCGCATGTTCGAATCTGTCAAGAGCATTACAACGTTTAAAATACAAGTATGGTGACTTTGAGCTCAAACAGCCACAGATATTAAATATAAAAAAAAAAGAATGAAAGTAAGGAGAGAAACTTACCCAGTTGATGAAGGGTTAGGTCTCCAATACAACCAACATACCCCTGTCTTGCGTATGTATACCATGAAAGGTTTTCTTCTGGCAGTGCACCTATCCAAATTCCATCGGCAAAGTACAAGCTATTACGCTCGAAAGAAGTAAGATCTATACGTGTTGGTTTATTGTTAAGAGAGACCAGAATGTAATTAGCAGACAAAGACAGTTGGACCCTTTGCCAACGACCAGTGCTTACAAAGTCATTGGACACCAACACTCGTCTAGTCAAAGCACCAAAATCATAAACAAAATACAATTTTCCTTCAAAAACCTCAAAACTCATAAATTGTGATAGGGATGTAGATCTTGGAATTGTTAAAAGAAGTCCAGTGTGCAGTGATGTCCGGAATCGGAAATGAATTTCTCCTCCGTTCCGGAAGTCAACATAGCCAGGAATATGATAATGTTTATGGTGAGCAAGGAGTGAAATCGTACTAAATAGCTTGATTTTGGTTGGCTGTGGGGCCGTTGTCGTCGGCCTTGGAGTCGGCCGTGGGGTTGTGGGTCTTGGGGTGGGTCGTGGGGTATTCCAGTTATCACGGAAATGACGCTCCCATTCAGAACGGGTAAATATCAAAATAGGCCAATGACCACCACTGTGTTGCTTCAGTTTTTCAAAGATGTCAACTCTGTCAACATAAACGTTGTGCATGTACCCGTGGAACGACGGGATTCTCAGAGTAGGATAAATTTCACGGAGGGACCCGTAGTAGATTTTATCATAATGTATGAAGAAATCTTGTCCAGATATCTTTTCTGAAAATAAAATTAATCGTTCACAATATCATAGTTAGTTGTACACTACAAAATTTCACATCTCAACAAAAGAAGAATTTAGTTAGACGGACTACCTGTCTGATGTTGTTGGGAATCTACCCACAATTCCAAGTGGTCCGCACGGCGACGGAGGTTAAACGTGTGCCATCTGCCATCGTTAAGATATACCCCAGTGTAATATACCTAATAATAAAGTAAATTATTCAAATTTTGAATGTAAACTTTACAAGTAAGCAATCAAAATTTCGGCTTAACTCTTGTTACAAATTTTCTTACATATACATGTAGTCATTTATATGAATGCGTTTACTGTATATAAAAAAGAAAATGTTTCTATTTTTGTAAATAATCCCCTTTTAAAGTGTTACATACTACTGAAATATATGATTACTAAACTAAAGTCTTCGAGACATGCAAAGATAGAAAACAAATTAGATATAAAAATAACTTAAACTTGAATGGAATTTTTTTTTAACTTTGAAGTGAACATTTTCTTCCATTTTACTTCCCACACCCTAACATGCATATCTTGAAAAAGAATTTTTGAATTAGTAAATTAATATATTCAATTACAACTAATTCGACATCTAACTACTCACTGGATTTACATCGAAAATCTGAAAATGACAGTGCATCCACACAAATAGTTAAAATAGAAAAGCCAACAAGCTATAATACATATTGTTAGTGCACAAAAGCCATTTTAATATTCACACTTGTGAAAATATTTTTGATGTAGCATTTTTTATAGGAGTGCAATTAGTAATACATATAAATAATCAAAGCTCACCAATGTGAAAGCTATCATTTACGTTTCAGACTTAACAATGTGATTGAGTGCAAGAAAACTCTGAATTTCAAATCAGACACACAGGTATGGAAAGCACGCTTATTTCAATAATTAGGAAGAAAAAAATACCTGATCTTTGCCATTGATTCTAATGGTGACTTTGACTCGTCCGTTCTCAAGTTCCGCTCGGATGAAATCGTTATGGCCTTGTGAGGAGTATGTTTGGAACAAAATGGCGTTACTTTGTTTGGTTCTAAATCTCAAAGAGAAGTCGTTCAGGTGAGTTTCCAGGAATCTGGCATACTGATAGATGACATACTGTTGTCTGTTAAAAGCGGCAGTAACCGGCCCTAGAATGAAACATGGTCATTTATTAATCAGAATTTCGAAATCAACACCAAAACCAGATACAAGTACACGAAGAATCAAAAGTCTGCTTCAACATACAAATATCACAATTGTCGCCTGCCATTCCTGTTCCCGCGCAGTAGCAGTGGTAAGATAGGGCATTATGGTAGGAACACTCCCCTAACCCGCAGATAGAGGGCACCCCGCACTCGTTAGCTCCTACTATACAGGTCTGAGAGAGTTCCGGTACATTCTGGATGACAATGGGACGGAAGTCTGTTGCTGAAAAATAAAATTCGATTCATGATACGAACAGCAATGGCGCAAATAGACGCAACCCCCGGATGCAAGCAAAATTACTGAACGCCTTCCCACTTACTGGTGTCTTTCAGAGTGAAATCCAAAATACATCCTACAAATCCATTCCTTGAAATCTGATACCAGGACAGCTCACTGTTTTCCCTGGGTCCACCGATCCAGATCCCGCCACTGAAGTATAAGGACGTCTCTGATGCAGACAAACTGATCGTGTTCGGAGAACCATCAACATAGACCGTGACACGACGGCCATAACTTACGGTGATCCTCACAGAATGGGGCTGACCATCATTAACTGCTGTTGAAGAGATTCGGACGCGCTTGGCACCAGCACCAAAATTATAAACCAAGTACAGAATACCATCGACGATCTCACAGCTGATGAAGGAACCGGAAGTTCCAGCAACAAAGATCAAACCATGCATCTGATGAGTTCGGAACCGGAAAGACATTTCTCCTCCATTCCTCATGTCAATATAACCGGTGGCCCGGATGTGGAAGTTAAACTTGAGGATTGAAAGAGTCCGGAAGAGGATAATTTCTTTTGGTCTGGGCACTGGTGTTGTTACTCTAACTGGAGGCCGGGTGCCGAATTCGTTGGGTTTGTAGATTATTATGTTTCCATGTTTTGATGCATGTGTCTCGATATGGGCAAGTAAGCTTATAATTGTTACATGGTTGTTTCTGGCATATTTGGAATAGATAACCTAAAATTTTGTAACGAACAATTTCATATAGAAACAGTTGTTTTTAAGTATACCGTCATAATATTAAATTTAAATTCCGATGTAATTTACTGATTTTGCACAAAAAGTCCCTTATTGATTTTTTTACTTTGTTTAATGCATTTTGAGGTCAAAACTTCGTGTGTGTTTAACATAACCTAGCCTGCATTAATGAGACAAACATGCAAGTAGAGCATTTTTTCTTTATCTCTTATTCTACAGGTGAACTGCGCATAGATTCTTTGTTTTACAAGTGTAGGCGTAATCGAAGTTTTGTCGAATGTGATTTACCTCTGTGAGAGCCCCATCAAAACCTTCTCTAACATGTCTGTCTGTTAGCTGAACAGTGTCGGGGCTTCCTCCTAAATACACGTCACCAGGGGCAACCAGCTGAATTTCGTTCCTAGTGAAGAGTTCTCCGGCATATTTCTCGTCTATAAAGAATCTCATCTGCAACAACAATGATCTTAATTAACCACACGGTATAGTTATACAAAAACAAAAAATTATTCTCCTTAAAAAAAGAAAAAAAAGAAAAGGAATTGCAATAAAGAGACGAACAAAGAATTTTTTTGGGGGATATATTTCTGCATCCAAGAAAATGAAAATGTATTATGTCGACCCAATCACACACATATATACACAAAAATCACTGATAGATTGAAATTAATGTACGCACGTTGTGGAGAACTAATATGTGACTTACGTGTCGTCCCATTCTCTCAATGGAGATTTTATGCCATCGCCAGTCGTTGAGATCCTGGAAATTCTCTGCACGAAGCTGGACTTGTTGAGGTTGTCCTGTTCCATCATCAATGTGGAAGACCAAGTAGCCATCCTGAAAAACGGAGTAGAATAGCAATGAGATACATGCCAATTTATGTAACACTGACCTTTACTGAATTGTTAAAGGTTGTAGAAATATTGTGATACTAGTAGTTGTAAACAAAAATTTCTGCAAAATATATAAAGGAAATAAGAAGAAAAAAAATAAAAGAAAAAAAAAATAAAAGGTAATAAGAAAAAAATATTATCGAAAAATAAAAGCAAAAAACAACATACATGTAAAGTATAAAAAATAATCAAAGAAAAAAGGTAAAAACATATTATCTACGGAGTTAATTATTGTGGTTCTGAAAGAAAAAGGTATACTTAACAATACAATTTATTTTACTATAAATATATATATTCTATGTAAAACTTGGGTCAGCCATTTTGGCCCCACCTTTGCCCCGGGGGGTTTATTGACTCTATGATTCCACATGTATACTTGGATGAATATATTCCTATGTAAAACAAACAAAATCTTCCACATGAGTTTCATCTTTCCTGGCCCAGCGGTTCTGGAGAAGAAGATTTTTTAAAAATGCAAAATTTTTCATTCATAATTATCTCCCCTTGGAAGGGGGCGTGGCCCTTCATTTGCAAATCATCAATCTTTTGCATGTTAACCGAACACACAAAGCAAAATCAGTCTATATATAACAAAATGATCCAAAAGTGTAATAATCAAAGAAAAAAGGTAAAAACATATTATCTACGGAGTTAAATATTGTGAAAATCTCTCTCTCTCTCTCTCTCTCCTTCTCTCTCCAAATCATCAGTCTTTTGCATTGGCATTAACCGAACACACAAAGCAAAATCAGTCTATATATAACAAAATGATCCAAAAGTGTAATGATATGAAAATCTCTCTCTCTTCTCTCTCTCGATCTCGATCTTTCCTCTCTCAGATCACGTATGAAGGAGTATATATGTAAATATGATAAATGTTACTAACTTATAGTAGGCAACTGAGATGGTCATGAAAATATGACACTGAAATTCTGAAAATAATGGCGAAAAAATTGACAATTTAGAAGTTTTATGCAGAAATCTATTCATGCATGTATAACACCCGATTCCTGTCGGTCTCATTCCAGATTACTTACACACTTTTTGCCGTCCTCAATATTCTGCCAAAACATATAATAAATCAGCCATGCTGTTCAACTATTTAAAAAGGTTAAAGCAAAAAAAAAAATCTTTTCGCGGAATTGAAATCTTGGATCGGGGTTTTCAGAACAGATGCCTATAGCAAACATACTATCGGGAAACATTTTGCAAAACCAGTGCTTGTGCACAATATCACGGTCTTTAACGTGATTAATCAACATAATCTGCTAAAAATTCAAACTCAAAATAATTAAAGAAAAAGAAACAAAAAAAATCAACACCGAAAAAAGCAATGACGTCATCATTGTGTAGAAAAACAAAATGTCCGTTTTACCTTCATGGCAAGGTACATGATTTGGTTCTGTCTGTTGTCCAACCACAGGAGACCGTTGGCTTTCTTGGTGATGAACTGGAAGTAGAATGTCTCATTGGAAACCTGTTCCATCATCTTGGGGGCATTGATACCAAAAGTGGCGAAGTCATAGTGGATGTAGGCACCACCGATAAAGCGGATAGTGTGTGTGGAGTAGCGGCGACTTTGGTGGAAAACTTGCTCCACATCGTACAGATTGCTCTGGGCTTGAGTAGTAGTTACGGCTGTTAATAAATACAGCAATTAATTACGATATTAATCAAATTTAATTTCATTTGTATCTGGTTTCAAAACTCATTCAGACAGTCTACAGGTAGAAAACGGTGGGTGTTTCAACCTATGTTGCTGGCAAAGCCGGGCATTTTTTTTTAATTTATTACAATGCATTGTTTCAATTCCTACAATGGAATTCACAGATGTTGCACTTTTTGAAATTTTCGAAATATTGCAGAATTTCGCCAAAAATTGTCCATGTATATTGCTTAGCTGCAGCTAGTAAATTGCTCTGATATTTTGCCAGAAACTGTATTAAGCAACAGCATCATGTACCGTAAGGAACATGCTGTATATGTTAAACTGATTTATATTATGTTTCTTGACAAATTATATAAAACATACTAAGAAGCTCCTTCAGTGACTAATTATAACAATTAACATTATGAACAAAGATAATGAGCTGCTTTTATCTTTTCCCTTTAGTTGTTTCCTCTGATAAAGTTGGACATATCAGATTCCTTTACGTAGCTGATATATATAAACAATAATAAGATAGGACCACATATAAATAGAATAATCATTCAAGCTGACAAGCCCTTGATTACAAGTGTATAAAGCTTTCGCTGGACTAGATGAAGTTCATAAGGAAACATTTCTTTTAAGGTCTTTACACTGTACAATATTCTAAAAACGATGTAAGAGTAACTTTAAATTCACCCTATCTCGAGCCCATCAGTTTTTTTTTCTTTTAATGATTATAAAACTTTGAGTTGTACTTCGCATTATCTGATTTATTACAGTTAAGAATCGCATTATAATCAGATTAACGGTATGTACTGTACATATTTTTTAGCCATTATCTTAAGATCGCCTTCAGACCTATTACTGATAGCATTACAGCTTTACGGAAAACACACGTTTCCATCAAGGTTTAACGTATATTCAATTGTTTTAAAACCCGTTCTGTTGAAAACGAAAAAAATGAAAATGAATAAAAAGATTCGGTCAAGCCACCTAAATAAATTAGCTAACACGACATCAGGTATTCGTTTGATGAAGTTTCAGATGTTTTACGCCTGGTGTCCTTGTTGAATTTGACCCACACCGCCCTTGCTCCTGGGGGGTCATTTGTTTCGCAGAGAGGTGCGCTATGACAATATCTGAATCAACAAACGCCTAAAGTCCAGTGGCTAACCGTGATTAATCACTTAATTTCAGGTTAAGGCTGAAAACATATGTCTCTACAAATGTAAACTTGGATGACATATGTAGTTAAAGGTCAAATCTAACAAAAAATTGCTTATATTTATTTTTTTATTTATTCAGTTCACTACTTTAAAAAAATATCTACAATTTTCATAAAATAAAAATAATGAAAATATGCATTTTAGTATACTGGTCATTGTCCGAAATGGGCCTCATTTTTGCAGTTCTAATGGATTAGCTACTGTATAAAGTAACCTTTTGAAAAAAAATTCAATTTGGATTAAAATTTATTATTTTACTTTGTGAATTGTCTTTTAAAAATATTTTTATGTATATATGATTGATTTCAGAGAATAACTGATTTCTGAAGATTCTGTTGACAGCCTGAGAAGAATTGGTATTCAGCGTCTTTTTATTTAATAAAAATTAAAAAGTCTATGATTTTTTAGACTAGTTTCCCTACTGCTTTCAACTTTTAAAGAATATTAATGATCAATGACTGAATTTTGAAATAATAATAAATTTCTACAAAAAGTCACCAGTCAAAATAATGAAAATATATAAGATTATTTTCTTATTATAAATTTCAGGTAGCCCATTGTATAGTGTTCATCGTAAGATATACTGCCAGCTGCATGCGGAAGCTATTATCATCAATGCTTCAGGAATGTTTTATCTATTCCCAGGTACACGCGGAACCAGCAGCAGCTTCTGTCCGTCGTGGAGTGGCAGGTCAGAGGGAACGCGCGTGAGTGCACATGCATGAGTCAAGTGGTTTCCTTCTTCTTAGCAAGCAGTTGAAGTATTTTTAATGATGCTAGCTGCAAGTTTTATCGGTAAAGTTTCAACGAAGGAGTGAAACTACTTAACGGTGTATTTATAGATAAAAAATTCCTCAGTTATTACATAATAACAGAGTACATGCTAGAATACAACAAATGTCGGTCTGTTAAATTAAAGGACAGTTTTCGTTCGATGGCTATCAGTCCCATAGATCTTTTGAATTAAATCACAACCTTGTATTCATTGTACTTTAAGTGCCTACTTTTCTCGGAGCCGATCAAGACCCACAAAGAATTAAATCATATAATTTAAAGGTAGCCATTTATTTTGAGTTTCCTTTCCCCTTAAAAAAAACTCGTAAAATTGTGTGTTGTTATCTTGAAAATTGTTGATTTTATAGCTAGTTTTCAATTTGATATAAACTCTGCATTAAAAATTACAAGTAAAACAATATCAAAGCGAATTATAAATGTATTTTTTCCTCTTAGTAAGTAGTTCAAGCGCTTACATGTATGTGTTTATTTGACAGTGTAATTTAAATAATTCACGTAACAGCCATGAACAAAATCGTTTGTGTAGTTGCCAAACTGGTTTACATGAATGGAATACTAATGCCAAATTAACATTTATGGAATCTAGTTTTCTACAACGACTCAAACGTATTTAACGTTTTGTGATTAAAGAAACTTACCAATACTCAATGCCAGTAACGCTAAAAAGGCCATTTCCTTCATTTCAAACATATTCGATGATTTAATCACTCCATTCTCACAGAAGAGAAGTTTTGAAAAGAAATTAAACTCCAAAAAGATTTCGAACGTTTGGCTTAGTCACACAACCACCTCTCAGAATAGATATAATTCAGTAGGCAGTGAGAAACAGATTGCGTGTGTGTGATGGCTCCAAAAAGATAAACAAGCCAAGATGAAGCACCTCCGAAATATGTATATGTAAGTATATCAGATTCCAGTTTGAAGTAAGGGAACGGCAGTCGTCATTTCCGGTGATCGACGCGAACAAGAATTGGATTTGATGAGCAGACGACTAGAGGTCCTCAGCAGAAGATGGGTTTGGAAGACTGCCTGTTCAGTCACAGTAGAGGTGTAAGCAGTGGACCAGTTTGATTCATCACAACTATACACCATTCACAGAATTAATAACCCCCTAAGAGCAAAAATATAAACACGTGAAGTGGCAGCTCCTTGCGTATATCCCCCGGCTCAATGGCGGAGATACTAACGATACCAGGTTCGATGTGCAACGAAATTATCTTAAATTATTCACAAAAAAATACAGGTAGTAAAGGTTTTGATGCATGATAAAAGCCTTGATATTTATTATAATATAAACTTCGTTGATCGCCTTCACTAATGGCATTTTTCCACTTAGTGTTGTTTCTTTTATGATACACCTTTTTAGCAATATGAAAATACTTTTTTTTAAATACAAAAATAGATTTACGCTACACAATGAATGACTCAGACATCAAACAAGAAGTCTGGAATGCCAAGATTATGATCCGAGCAAAGATAAGGTAAACACTGCAGATATTCAGCAGGAGTTGATTTGTAGACAGTCACTCAGAAAAAATAAGATATCAACATTTGCCGCCGGTTTTTGGAAGATATCAAGCTTTACAAAACTTGTTTAAGACGTTATTTTAAGAAATTGAGCTTTCTGTATTAAAAACAGTATAAGGCCTTTATAGTTAAAATGAACAGACAACAAAAGCCCCATAGAGGGAAAGAAATCTAAGACCGCAGCTAAACTGATGAGAAATTTACGAAACAATATCTTAAGAATATGAAATTGTAACTGAACTTGTAAAATTTTGAGATTCTTCCTAATGACAAATGAGAAATGTTTAGCAGGCTTGTATTTAAATAAGACTGTAAAAACTGATAAATTGTACATTAAATCAGAACGAAGTATGTATTAAATAATTATAATGCAGGCCTTAGGTGAACACTTCATTCATTTTTTCTAAGTTTATATCCTTCTATTCTAAGTCTACATCTGAAAACAATTTCAGCAATGAATCAATGTGGCATTATTAATACACCTGTTAAAATTAATACATAAATTATTTATGTAAAATATTGCCTTGTTCGCCGGAATGAGTAATCGGAGATGAATTTCAAACCGGTTATTTCTTTGTTTGTTGCCAGAAATCTTCACTCATTGGAGATGCAACCATCCGTCGATTGAGTCCAGGGAAGTTAGACCTTTGCTCGGCATTTAGGTCCTTATTAAGGAGGAATCTTTTTGTGCCAGCACCTCCACGGGACCTCGGTTTTACGGTCTCATCCGAAGGCCAGACTCTATATCCCAAAGTGAGATTCAAATCCGCGACGTATAATGATCGATTCCTTACTCCGAGACTCTACAGTAGACGCTGTAACCACTGAGCCTCGCAGGCGACAAACTAAAGTTCTAATCGCAGTTTAAGATATCTTGAATAATAGTTGGTTTACTATAAAACAACTTTTCATTGGTTTGTTGACATTGCATGAGTGTAAATATTTCAAAATAAACAGTTTTCCAAATTTTCTTAGTTGTCTTCGAGACTCTGGCCTAGCAATACATTTGGTTTCTGATAAAAGGATATAATTTAGATACAATTCAATTTGCCTTTTTGGTATAATCACCTCTATCTAAACCGTTGTCTTTTGTTTGTCAGAGACACCTTAAAAAGTCCAAACTATTGGTTGAATGCGATTTTAGTAGGCTCAGGCTTCAAGACAACATAATACTATACTCAGTACTACAGCATCTAACTATAGTGTTTGGTATCCAAAAACCCTTAAATTTAATGCATTCTGTATATGTTTTTATCATCAGAAACAGTATATAATTCGATCGTCTTCCCAATCCATTTTTCATTCGGATTACTATTTTAATTTACTGTAAATATCAAGCGGCAAAGTAACCATTTTACATTACTTATACTAGTATTCAAGTACTAGTGTATTTACAAGTTGATCAGGTTTAATACTTGGCAGTGCAACTTATTTCACAGAGTTCCTTAATAAAGATTCAATTTATCTTCTAGTATGTGTTTTGAGTTTGTCAGATTGCATATATATACATATACTAGTATTCATTATTGCTAAATAAAAAGATAATCTGACTAGTCCAAATGTTACTTACGAGGTAAAGGAGTTGTTCTTCTTCTTCGTGTTTGACTGAGGACGGTTCCATTTAGAACAATAACATCTACTCCATCGTCATCCACGGCGGGAATGTTGAAGTGGGTGTCCCCACCAGGCTCTATAAAGGTCACCCTGCTTCCTGGGTTACCCACGATCCGGCGGTCGTCGTTGATGACTTTCGTAAAAACATCCGGAACCACCTCTACTCCCGGTTTTATTGTCACTTCCTCTTGTGTAGAATTGATGTTGACCTTGTTCACGTAAATGCTGGAGCCACTTGACACATTGTGGCTTCCTGGCACCGTGTAACCACCTGAGGTGGTGCTGTTGGAACCTATCAGTCCATGCACCTGTAAATAATCCTTTTGCACATTCCAAACGTCTAGCCTTTCCAGGGTGGCGTCAGCATATCTCTCGCGAACCATATCCGATAGAGAGCGACCGAAGTACGTTTTTCGATCCCATTCCCGAATTTCTTGCTGAGGAGTTCCAAACGTTTGGTGGGACTTTTCTTGTCCATCAACCAACAAGGATATTCCTACGAAAAGATAATACAACATGAAAAAATAAGAAATGATAGGGAAACGGAATTGCAATGCTAATATTACTCTCAAACACCGATACTTAACCTCTTTGAGGTTGCCAGGTTATTTCCACTAGCTGCCACTCTCCTGCAATGAAGTCTGGAGTTGAGGTTGTCCATGACATGGTGGGGGTTCTTGCTGTGGCCCACAGTTTGCCGTCCCTGTAGTACACAGACAGAGGGAAACTGTCCACTAGGTACATGTTCTCTATCAGGCGTTCTGGCTTGACAGAGAACTGTACCGTGAAGCCTCGGGACTCACAGTTGGCCAAATTACCCTTGCAAATTAAGTCGTCTCCAAAATCAAGATACTGGCTTTTTCCGTTTATTCTTATTGCTCGGCTATGTTGGCCTTGGACTTGCGCAGGGTTTCCATAAAGATAGATTGTCCTGATGGGTAGCTTGATGAAGAATTTACCATTTTCAATTCGTGGTACTCGATCTAGTGGCAAGGCCTGGTGATTTATGTATCCTATGAATAAAATAAGACACGTTTTCAAATATCTTGAAGTCATAAGAATTCTACAATTCTTAAGTAGTAAATGAGGGTGTTTTATAATGAATCTACGTGATTACAAGCGGATAGAAGGGATAGATTAATGTGAGAAGACAGTGGATAATTTATTATGTATAGAAAACATCATAGAAGTCTTCATAATGGAACACGTTACAGTGAGATAGAAAATGTGGGATACTACAAAGCAGGGGTTTAATCTATTAACAAACCTTGCAGTTGTCCAGAGGCTATAGCTTGATCCCTTTGAGCGTAGATGTACTGTATTTCATCAACTAAAGCATCGACAGTCTTTCTGCTATTGTCCTTAGAACGGCCGACATACGTCCTGCCGACGTTTGGATCATCACCTTGCAAAGAACTCCATGTAGAAGTGGAGCTCTGCTTAACGCCATCCAAATATAGCTCCACGCCATTAGTGGAAGACCAAGACATCACCACCTGCTGCCAACGGTCAGCCTTCACGTTAGGAGTGGAAACTTCCCACATCTTTCCATCCATAAAGAACCTTGCAACTAGTTGTCCATACTCGTAAGAAAGCGTATTGGAAGGACTTGACAAGAAGTAAGTGCCATCTTGTAATTTACGTGCCTTTATCCAAAGCGAGATCGTCAATCCATTTTTGCATTTCTTCAGGTTTCCCATGCACTTGTCTCCATTATTTCCTAGGTCTAGATACTGACCGAATCCCTCTAAAGACACTCCGTTTCCTATCCGTCCGTTGGTCAGCCTGGCACCATTGACTAAAGTGATAGTAAGGCGGGGATGGATAACCAAGTCCCCAGACACCGTTTCCAAGGAGATAGTCTCGTGTTGAATGTTGTCTGTTGGAAGTCAAGGGTTAGAAAAAACACCAATCAAAACCATGCAGTTACAGTGACAACGAATAGGTGAAAGGGTGCAATGATTGGTTAATAAAAAAATAATACAAAGAATGTGTGATTTGTGCAAAATGTTATTCTTCCGTTTTATTAAAATTCATCTTATTGATAAATTAATATAGTATGATTAAAATTGATATGCAGGATATTGATAAAGGGAAAAAAATCGATAAACAATAAACAAATTATAAAACAGAAATAAAAAACAAAGAATGCTACCTACTAAAAGTACAAGCATAAAAACAAGAAAATAAAAAAGTAAATAAAATCAAAGCGAATGTTTTGTAACTGGAAAGCATAACATTTTTAAATTTAAATTTTTAAAATTAAAAAAGAAAACAAATATCATTTCCAAAGGCTTAACATGCATGAAACTCCCCACCACCGATTCCTCAACTGAAAACACTTTGAATAGTCTTTGAAAATCAAGCATGCTCTATTTGGACACTACGTTAAATAAATCAACAGAAACAGATGCAAATGAAGAATAACTGTGACAACATCCACATAACCAGTACTCGCCATTAGAGGGAACTTCTCAAAACCCAGACAACAACAAGACGTCTCCATGGTAACGCCTCGACCTGTAACTATGTCTTTTGAAAGAAATAAAATGTAAACCTTATCTCTGCGCATGCCCTCAAACAAGACCGTGTTCTAAGTACTACATGAAGATGCAATCTTATTCCGAATATAGGATATCGAACCACAAAGGCATTCAGTAATATATAATCCCTAAACAAACAGCATCCAGGATAATTCACTGACTATTTGAAAAGATTCCGCACAACAAACGAGAACTATCTTTCTATGACATTCCAAGGAAAAGGTAAAGTATACTGTATCCTTTCGCCATGCAAAACTGTATTTAAGTATTTTCAAATGTATAACGAAAGCAAAGCTTAGTCGAAATAATCTACAATTATCCAAATAAATTTCATGCAGCAATATATCCTCAAGAAAAATCAACAGAATTATACTAGTATTTTATTATAGATTTCTTAACCCACAAAAAATTTTGTCAATCAAGAGTTAATGACATTTCGATATATTAATTGATATAAATATAAATGTCAAGTGAAAGGCTTTCAAAGCATATATAGAATGGTAAAATATATGAAGCCAGGCTTACCAGTCATCTGCAGTTGCAATCAAAGCAACAAGTGTTACATGTGCAACAAAGCTAACTACTAGCCTGTTGACAATCAAGGGCATAAATTTACAGATATTTGATGCCAGAATATTGTAAAGAAAGATTTCATATACAAAGAAAGTACATGTACTGGTATTTAAATTAATCGTGACTTGACTCTTGGTATTTTCGGTTGCTTTTTGTATTGAGTGTCTATATAAAGCTGGGACTTACCCCGCAGGATGTAGTCGAAGGCTACCAGTCCCTCCCTCCGTCCATACCAAACCTCCATCTCATCCACCGTCATCATGGCGGTCCGAGTTGTCTCCCCCGTGTCGTCTGCGTTAGAGCGACCCACGTACACGCGTGTCCCAGATCTCCCAACATTTGGAACAACGTTCGTGTACGCTGAGTGGGCCACTAGCGTATTGTTCACGTACATGTTCAATCCAAAGTCGGGGTGCCATGACAGCTCCACGTAGTGCCATACTTGTTTCTCCAGATTTGGGATCGCCACTTCCCATTCTTTCCCATTCTGATGAACCACGGCGAACGTCTCTCCTCCTTTCTGGTACACGCGGATCCCGTTATTACCAGTGGACAAAATATACATATTATCTGTATAATCTTTGAAGTTCATCCACGCTGACACGGTTATTCCATTAGAGCACTTTTGAAGGTTTCCCAGACATTCGTCTTGGTGAGATCCTACGTCTAAGTATTGGTTGTTGCCGTCTAGGTGTAGAGCATAACCGATCACACCTTGTACCAGCTGAGGATCCCCATACAAACGGAGGGGAAGATCTTGATGAACAAGATCATCCCCTCGTTTAGCCTCCATGTCAATTAAGTATCCCTTGGGTTTGCCTATAAGAGTAGAGATTTATATTTACTTCATTAACTTTCACAATAAATAACGCATTAAAATTACACAAAAGATGGAAGCCTTTAAAAAGGTTTAACATGTACATTATCTTACCTCTTTGTATAAAACCAAAGGCTATGAGATAATCCCTTGGACCATACCAGTACTCCAACTCATCATACATAGCGTTACCAAAACTGCTGGATGTCATCCTTGTATTTCCTCTTCCAAGATAAAACTTATTCTCCTGGGAGCTGGCGTAAATTCCAGTTGCCAGCGTAACGGTCCGTTTCTTTGGATTGTCGTTGCTGGATACCAGGATATCATTAATATAAAGTTCTAGTCCTTTCTCCGGATCCCACGATACTTCAAAGAAATACCAGTTGTCGTATGACAAAACCTCAGTGGACACGTTCCATTCGCGGGTAGAGGTCGCTGCAGTCACTTCAACACGATTTCCAGTGTTGCTGATGGTAATGCCGTTCTTTCCCGTGGACGCGAAGTACATGTTGTCCCGGAATGTTGTGGGATTAATCCACATGGCCATAAGGACTCCATGATGACAGTTGTCCAGATTACCCAAGCAGCTTGTCTGATGCTCTCCAAAGTCGACAACCTGGCGATTTCCATTAAGTTTGATACCCTGTCCAATTTTACCTGCTACAAGTTTCGGTGATCCGTATGTTTCGATCAGCATGGATGGATGATAAATTCGATCTCCTATCGCACTGTCAAAGCTGAAGTAATTTTTCGTTGGTTTATCTGATGTTAAAAGAAACAAGAAAGGTAACTCTAAATAATTATGCTATAAATTCAATAACTTTCACTCAAAACAGCAACAGAGTTGTCTCGCTTACCTCTCTGAATTAGATCCAAGTACAGCAAGATATCCCTCTCTCCATAAAGCATCTCAACATCATCAATTAAAGCATAGGGGTATTCTTGCTGGTTAGCATAATTAGCACGACCAATGTAAAATGTAGAATCAGTACTTTTACTTGGTGACTCTATGGAATGTCCTGTCTGTTTAACAGCTAGACGTAAGTCAATGTAGATAGATAAACCTTTAGACTCACTCCATGTCACTTCTACATACTGCCAGATACCCATTTCTAAGCCGTACGTCCGAGCTTCCCATTTCCTATTACCGGCCTGTACAGTGGCATAGAGATTTTTACCAACTGAGTAGATGTTAATTCCGTGACTGGAGAAATAGTATGAATGATTTCGCAACTCATCCAACTTGACCCAATACGAGATTAGGAATCCATGGAGGCAAAGATCCGGGTTACCAAGACATGAGGCGCTGAAGTCACCCAGATCTACATTTCCTCCGTCCTTATTGAATTTCAGGGCTTTTCCTATTTTGCCTTCCACAGTTTGCACATTGCCCAAAACTTCAGAAAATATATTTTTGGCAACGAGTTCCCTTCCCGTGATTTCATCCATGTCCAAATAATATCTGTACATAGGACCTACAAAGAAAATGGTGAATTGTAGAATTCAAGAAAAACAATACTGTATGAGAGTTTTCGATAGAGATTCTTTTCTGAAGCATTTTTTTTTAATTCTCACCAATTTCCGGAACTTGAAACTCGTCCTTGTACTCGGACCAGAACTTTAACTCATCTACAGTGATTGTCCCCAGGGAATCCAGCCCGGTCCTATCGTTACTCCGGCCAATCAGGAACTCGTTAAAACGGGGCTTTCTAGCTATTGCTAGCCTGAAAAACGTTTATTGTGACATTGAAATAAATAACATGCCATATAACTGAAACTTGAGAAAATCATGTTATAGGAAAGAAATGTCGATGAGGAAACCATTCATTTAGATTTTTATATGTACCTCTGTTCTGGAGTCTTTGTCTCGCTGACAAGGTCCCCGTTGATGTAAAGCTTAACTCCCATTGCATTTGTCCATGTGACTGTCACGTGGTACCATTTGTCCTCCAGTAAGTTGTCATATTTAACGTTCCAGTACAGTCCAGACTTGGTTCGGAACATGAACCCCAGCTCTCCAAGTTTGTAGGTCATTGCAATGCCATGAGAATTTGAACTGTGGCCACCATTAGAAAGATAGATGCCTTTGGTATCACCGATGTTATTAAATTTTACCCATAGCCCCAGAGTGTAACCTACAAGACAAGGACTCAAATATAATCAATAAAATACAGAAATATTCATCTCTTCACGTTTTCCCTTAAGAACCTTGTACAAGAAACTCATTTGAATTACTGTACCATTGATATGTTTGAAGAAAATTGGTAGAGTTTAAAGAGATGATACTCAGTATATACTGTTTTGTCCGTATAAAGTGGAGAATCCCTTACTTTGAACACAGAATCTAATATATTTGATAGATAATTTAATATCGGTCTTGTGTTATAGTTCCTATACCTTTGTGACATTTTTCTAAATCTCCAAAACATTCGTGTCTATGTCCTGGCCCGCTGACTTGGAGCCACTCTCGTCTCCCACGGATCCGGATTGCATTCCCCATGGCCCCTTTGACGGTCTTCGGAAGTCCATTGGAACCATCGATGTTGGCGTCAAGTCCCGATGGATTAACCGAGGTCCTTCCAATCAGCGTGTTCATTGGCAGATGGTAAAAAACGACAGAGGTATCTGTATAAAACGATAAAAGCTTGTTGAATATAATACTTATCTAAAAGTGAAATGTTGTAATCATTGTTTTGTTGTACAAATGTATGCTATAATTTCTGATTTGTTGTGTTTAAGGCTAGGGGAAATAATCAAAATGTATGCACTATCCTTGAGAACCTGTAAATCCATTATACACATACTAAATTGCATTTTTTCATCAACTTTGGGAGGAGTAAACAAAATTTACATGTATTTTGTTTCTTATGACTTATCCTGATAAAAAAAAGTAGCTTTAATATTGATTTTGGTTATTAATAAGGATTTGAAATTAAAAGAAAGAAAATTCTATATCTTACAATGAAGTATTGTTTACACCTTTTAACACTTGTAGCTGTGTTTTTGGATGGTCTTTTATAGATAGAGTTTTTTTTTCCAGGACACTGCATCATTATGCACGAAGCATTAATTAATCAAATTGCACATGCGCCATGAAGAAAATTTGTACGACCTATATCTTTTATTTACCTGCATTTATGACACTTGACATATGAAATTCAAAGAGTTTGAAATAAGATGTTCCTTTTATCTATTGTCAAATTTATTTTCTAGGTTTAAATGCTACTAAAACTAATCAGATGACCTTAGTGAAACTCTAAACAATTGTTAGAGTGTTCAACCACTCAATCTGATCAATGCACACAGTTCGTAGAGGTTAAGGGGGATCGTCTGATGCCGTGAGCATTGTCTAACATAGCTCTTTTTTTATTTACCCAATAGGCAGTTTTTTTTGGCAAGCTGTCAACTGCATCAGTCATTGTTTTTTAAAGCCTGTCTCATATATCGACCTTGGTCTCTTACGGTGCATACATACTGCTTTAATATATGCACTCATAAATCTTCTGAAGTTGAAAGATCGAAAAGATTGTACCATTAAACACCCTGAAAACTTCAAAATCTGTGTAGAGTTTCATCCCATAAAATGTACCTAGTTTGTAAAGATGTTCTTTTGAAAATTTTATGTCATTTTCTCCTGAATATCTATTTTGTTTTTTTTAATTGTGCGTCTTCCAGATAACGTTGTTGGCTTACATTAAGACTCTTGAGTGCACAAACAGACCCAAAAACATTGTAAATGGCTACTTTCTGGGATAGACTGCGTGTTTTTAATAATCGATCCCTTTTGTTTATTTACGGAGTTAAAGGGTTGACAAGAATTTTAGGCATATAATTTTGAAATGGATCAATAGTATAAATGTTACATAAAAGAGAACACTAATTTATTGTTTAGAATTTATTTAACTTGACTAAAAGTTTTCCAAAGACATTCCTCACATTGTACACTGAAGAGTTCTATTTCTGTGATATACTAAATGCATTCAGAGTGATCTGCTCTTAGATACAAAACTCAAACATAAAAATTGAAATCTAAAACTATTTTACTCAATTTGTAATGAATGTAAGCATGAAAAAAAAACAACTCATTAATCCAAAATAAAGCTAGTAAAAGAACACCTTCTTTGACGGCGTTTCCTTTATCAATACCTAGGGGTAAATAGCCTAGCGGGAACATAAGTTGAATATTAAACTCAGTATCGACTATTAAACATATTTCTGAATATTAAGAAAAGCATTAGTTTATAGAAGAATCTTCAACAAATATACAATGTATTTTGTTTAGCTGCAGAACTGTAGCTCTCAAAAAAAATTATATTGAAAGACAAGAGAATCCGCTCTCTCAATATATTTTTTCGGAGAGCTACAGTTCTCCGGTCTGTCAATATATTTTTTTCGGAGAGTTACAGTTCTGCAGATACATGTATATTTTGTTTTGAATAGATTATGCCGATTTTCCTTGGCTTTTTCGGTCTCATCAATCTCAAAGTCAGTATTATTTTTTCGAAAACCTAAAATCGCTGACATTCTGACGAGCCTGTATTTTTAGCAACACTTCTGATTCTGACAATGCTGCATCGCTTTGTCAGATTATAAAAAGATTTCTAGAATAAACTTTTTGCATTTGCCAATCAGGTTCCCAATGACGGGTTATGAGGCCAATACTGGAGTGTCAGAGATTGGAATATTTTCACCATATGTTTCATATGCCTTCTGTTAATGAGTTATTTGATCATGAGCATTTTAGAAACAAGCAAACAAATATTATCCGGTATGATGAAAACAGTAGTAATATTCTTGCCAAAATATTTTGTTTCGATATAAGAAATAATTGACTGAATTTACTCGACGTTATGATTTGATCTTTCTAATTATCTCTGATCCTACACAGATTGAAACTGTAGATAATAAATCTTTGTTCTCTTGATTCTCTGTGTGGCTGATTTCAAACAAGAATCTCTTTTATTGTTGAACCTCAACGTTGGGCATCAGCGAATTATTCTCCACATCATAAAATTACCGATAGGCCGACGGACAAAAGCCAGATCCTGACAGGAGCATAACTTTTTATGTTGCAAATGATAATAAACCGTGAAATTAAGTAGCGCAAACTAATCCTTTCATGTTTCACAACCCCGCCATGTTTTGGTGTATTTAAATTGTACATAAAAATATTTTAAATGAGATTGAAAATCTATTTATTCCATGGATTAAGACTTTGCAAGTTAAATGCATAGTATACTTTAAGGCTTTAATATGGGATCGGTAGACCGAACTTCCAGTATGTGCAGGTGCTTTGGGGATTAACTAAAAATTCTACAATACACAGACAACACGATTTAGTAAAATAGTGAAGAATATGACCTTAAATGAGGGGGCATTTTTTAATCGGTCTTATGAATAATAATAAGGTATTTCCTTCTAAATATGGCTAAAAGGCAAGTGCAGTTTTACTTTACTCCTACATTTGAATGAATCATCTGGAATGTAAATTTACATGTATATCAGATTATTATTTAAATTGTAGGACACAAAATTCTCCATATGCGAGTCAAATATGTTGGGTTGGATCATAAATCCTTAAAATAAAAACACTCGAGTGAATAATCAATAAATCCAAATTCTGTTGGTTTTTTTTTTTTTTACATTAACTGTGAAATATCAATGTATATTCAAAACTTCAAATATTGCACTTAAATGTTTTTGTTAGAACGAAACAAAAGATGTCGACTTAATGTAATAATGTTAAATTGAAACCAATGAATATATGAAGACACATTTTTTTTTACCCGAGAATATTTTGTATTACTTTTTAATATATAAAAATCTAAAGAATTCTATTTCTATGTTATTTTAAATGTGTAAAAAAAAAATATTTTTAGCAAAATCATAATACCAGCAGTTCAAGTGAATTTAAATGATTACATGTACATCACGTACATGTATATAAGGAATGGTATCCCCCAGAATCTTGCACGAATGCCTGGTGATGTACCCCCAATTTTTGTGAAGACACTTTTCTTCAATAACAAATTCTTGGGGAAAATATACTTTTAGATCTTAAGAGCAAAAATGAAGGTCCTAGATGTAGTGAGGCGATTGCTTCTTACAAAAGTGGAAGACCAGAGGGATAAAGACAGGTTTCATATACCTGGTAGTTGATTATGGTTTCTCCGTCATTTTTCATGAATAAATTACATTTAATGACTATTTTGACACAATACCTATAAATGCCTATCAAAACCGCAGTTTTTGGTTAACATTATGCTATCTGAACATTTTCAGTAACAAAACATAACATGAATCACTAATGCATATTAATTATATGTATTGAGCATAGCGACTTATAATTAAAAAAACATTTTGTATGCAAAAAGGACACTTAATAGGGACAAGCATTCCCGGATTTCTTATACAACTAAATGTCTTTACCATTGCAACTATTCAAAAGTGTCACAACCTGACAATTTATGCCTCTGCTCCAATTAGCGACAAGAGGAGGATATATGAAATTAATTATCTGTATACCAAAACGTATAAAATTCAAATGATACAAATTAGGTCATCATAGACAAATGTAATTTACATTTGATTTGAATTCTGAGTATTTATAAAATTATAAGTCATAACTATCTTGGCTGGGAATGTTTGTTGTTTAGATAGGTGAGAACCACTCCATGTCTATCTCAATATTACAAAGCCATCCAATTCAAATCTATTACGGACTGAAATATACACGACCAGATAGCGGGGGGTCTACCTTAATACAGGTATCAGTAAAAGTATTGGGGTGTATAGCAGGATTTACGAACTCTTCAGGTAGACTTATCTCTTCTTTCAACACCTTCAAATTAAATGGTTTCCAAGTTAAAAGTGTATTTCAATATCAAGCATAGGACAGTAAACTTATCGTATTTCAACTTGATATGTAGAAGCACTTAGTAATATTTTTTGTAAAGATTGAAACTTGAAATACTTCATTTTATTATATGATTGAATAATTTCCATCTCTCTGATTGACTGAGATCCAACTATGTTAGTACTGAACCTGCACGTGACGTTGCAGGTCAATACAAGGATTTATTTACTCTACATTGATCTAAAAATAGATCAGGAAATTCCAAATTGATACAAATTGTTTTGGGAAGCTATTTAATGGACTATGACTTTTTTCATGTGAACAAAACATAAGCGAATATATATTTTCAGTTCAGGGTGGTAACAATATATATGAAAACACTTTTTACTTTTTGGCAGTCAGTTTTCCCTGAAACACAAAATCTATCCTATAAAAAAACTGATATTATATTTTTTTTCATGGCAACTACATAAAATTGATAAAAAAACATTTCAAATGGATGCGACTAATAAGGTTTATTTACATTTTAATTCCGGTTCTCCCTTGTATTTGGCTAGGACTTAATTAAATGCAAACAAATAATGAGCTGTATCATTTTATCAGTGAATCATATAATAAAACAATTATTGCTGTTTTTCGGTCAATTATTTAGCCATCTTCGAAGACCTTGCCCTTCGGGCTCGGTGAATTGTGCAATAATTGTATAATATAGAGAATAATACATACCCTTTTCCATATCACATCCTGTATCAGCCCCAGACACCAATAT